GTCTCCTCCCATTGATTCCCTCATACCTAGTTTACTTGTTGGAGTTCTTCCTCTGGTACAAACATCACTTCAAGTGACTCTTCGATGTATGTCAAACAGTCATTTGAGGAGTCATCAGAATCACTGGACTATGAGCTTGTGGCGTCTTCGCATGAATTGGGAGATTCCACATCTTCTACGGCATCTCTGGCAGTAAGGTTCCCGCGTGCGTGGGTGAGAACTCGGTCAATCAACACAGCCTTGCTTCCACTTGTCTTATGGCCTTTTTACTTTAGATACATTATAGCTGCTTGTTGGTAAGCGCTTTTATATCTTTTTCAATTGTCCAAGAAATAAGCGGAAGGGTGTTCCTTTCTCTTACTCTTTTTTTTTTTTGGCTTTTGCATCGAGGAACTCAAGGTGCTGTACATAACTTTTACACGCAGTCTCGTCCATGTTGTACTGGGAACATACCTCTTGCAAAGACCTTTCTTCAGAAGAGGGCAGTTTTCCCTCGTTGGACAATCTCTTTATCCGCACACTTGGGAGAAACTTGTCGATCTGGTCTCCAGTGGACGCTGCCGTAGTGAATGGTAAACACTTTCCAGACGAAGTAGCATCTAGGGTTGGAACTGGAGAACGCTGGATAGGAACACCTCTTGTCCAACCTTTATTAAGACAGACATCGCATGTTGGAGTGTAGGAAAACTTAAGGTACTCAAGAAAGTACTGCCCCTGACGAACATGGTCTTCTTTTAATTTCTGAAGCTTTTCAAACAAGGCATTCCCACATATATGAAATTTTACATCCAATCCCCCTCTCTCTTGTTGTCATTTTCTCCTATGCCCCCCTCTAATTTTCCACCACCCTCCAGGTAATTGTTACACAAGCCAAGCGGTATACAAGAAATTTCGGTGCGAAAACACATTTTTTTCCGCAAACCCTCTTTACATAAACACACCACTGAATATATAAGCAAGAGAGCCTATCAGCAGGCAGGGTAGCCTTGTTTTCTTAACAGCAAAATGCCGAGAAAAATTCATGCTTGCTCAAGTATAGTTATAAATGAGTCAAACTCCGTAATCGACCAAGCGACACCTTCGCTTACCTTATTACAGTCCGTCGTTCTTTCCAGTCCGCGTTACTTCCTGAGCGCACAAGTAGGGTCAGACAATAATGTATTTAAATATATTTAATTATCAAATTTATGTTCAACACCTGTTCAACATGTACAACAGCTAGTATTGGTTTGATCTTAATTGCACATTCAAGGAAAAGGAGAAAGGTCGTAGAAATCTATAACGTATTCTGCCATCGTGATTTTAACCTTAGCTACACCAAAGCGACGCCCATTGGGCATACGCAATTTTGTAGCTTGTTGTTAGGACTTTCACTTAAAACAAATTTTCATGAAAGCTTCATGACAGTATGGCAGGGCAGGAAAAAAAACGAGAACAAATAGGCGAAACTCGATGGGAATATATCTGCGTCCATTGTTCAGAAATATCAACCACAAGTTTGAAAGATTTGAAAACCCATGGCACCGGAATTATCTGAAATACAATGCTACATTTGTAAACATTCTATATTGTGCTTCCGGGAACTGGGGCTAGCATTCGAAAAGCCAGCTCCTAATAGCTAGAAGTTCAGTTTAAACCCGACACACTGTTTGATTAAGTACGGCTTCCATTTACTCGAGGAAATTTTTCCGAATCGTCGTGATTGCCACTGTTGCGTACTAAAATCTTAAGCAGAAATAGAACAGCACAGATGTCGACAAAAATCTTGAATTTGCGAAGTTCATGAATAAATATAGACTCAACTGGAAGGAATCCTTATTAAAGTATCGACATTATTCATAGTTGGTAATGGCTATGAAATCTGGCAAACTTAAAAAGAGGAAAAAAGACGCCAATATTCATGCTGGAAAGTCTACGATGGTGCACAATCTTTTGTTTTGCGGTTGTTCACTACACATGGTTACGTAACAGAAACCTTTCTATTGGTTAGTTACTCAGTCAGAATTAGGATCGATTTCCGCCACTCTTCGGAATCCGGTCTACGCTCCTCACCACGAATTGCTTTCTGGGGAAGAGCGCGGGCTCCTTTCCCGAACAGCGGCTGGTAATCAAGCCTAAGCCAGAATGGAGTGAGTGGTAAACAACTATTTTGTTTTGTGCACTGTTAAGGCCAAAAACTCAAACAAAAACTTACAACCAAGAACTTTGTCACCGCTATTGACCATTTTGGTCTTATACCCATAATTTCGCTTCCCACAACATGTCTTCTTTCATTAAAATTTATTCAGGCGAGCTAGTGTTATTTACGTTGCCATTTGGGCACAATTGCTATCACTGTAAACTGTTGCGGAGGGGTGATTGAAGTTTTAGCGTAATGAAGACGTATACAAACAATATCAGTATCTTTTTTTCTTTTTGATTAGGAAAACCTCTTTGCATATACTTTCAACACACAATTTGCATACGCGATCTTCAAAAGTGGTTTTGTCAAGATCTCGTCAGTTGACCGCCATAATATACAATATTTCTAAACGATCGTAAAATATTGTCAATTGTATAAATATTGCATAGTACTATTGTATGACGATAATTTGGCGAAATCTTGGGCGAAGCTAGTTTTGTACATATCGCTTATTTTATTTAGTGTGTTGAAAATAAATGGAAATGAGTTTCCTCCCGATAAAAA